ACAGACCATTGCCCTCCATCTTAAAATATATTAATGGGATTCTTAAACCTAAGGTGTTATCACCAACTCCTAAAGGACAGTGAATTCCACTAAAGCAGAATTTATATTTCAGACGAAAGATGGATAACATCTCACAGTTCCACCACAGCAGGAGTCATTAAGCCAGCCACATGTCTGAGGGCTGTATTTCTCATTGGATTACAAATCCAATAAGAGTTTTCTTTACCTCTGAGTTACTAGCACGACAAATTCTAAATCAAGACACTGTGGGAAAAGGAAAAGCCCTCAGATGTTTGGAGGTTTCTAGAATAAAACACTCATGATTTTGTTTATATTTTTGCATCAAATGGATAGCCACAGAAATCATATAGTTCTGATCTCTCATTACAGTACCCAGCTTGCAGACTTTTCCATTGTCTCCCTTTTGTTCTTGGCTCCCTCCAGTCCTGTATCCAAATCATTCCTTCATGTTGACAACCCAGAAAGACAGTGTGCTTCTTGCCCTGCCTGTCAGTTATGTTTCATAGGACATGTCCCTTCAGTTCCACTTTTATAGTAAAAGATGTCAAAGCAAAACAATATAAGGCAGACAAAAACAAATGAAGGATAGGTAAGTGTCACGCATAAGAAAATCCAAAGAATTTGTGTCAGCCCAAAAGGGAAGGCAGAGAAAATGGAGAAGACCAGGGAACTGATGACATGAATGAACCTATTTCCCAGTTTTTGAGATATGAAAAATTATACTGCGCAAAGCAGCAAGATCTTGAAAATAAAAATGACCAAGAGGACATGTCTTTTTGGAAATCACAGAGATCCTGGACAGGCTTCTGAAGGCTCATTAGGCATCCTTAGTAATGAGTGGAAACTTGAAGCATTCCTGGATGAAGTCAACCTATGCAAACTTTTGATCAACAGAACCAAACCAATCAGTCTACCTCACATACACAAACACAGACCTGGAAACAGAAATTAAAATCAAAATAATATCCAATTAGTAAAAATAAAATACAAAAAGGAAAAATGATTTAAAGAAAAAACGATGCGTTCATTTAAGATATGCATTGATAAACTGTTACCAAGACTGGGCAGGAGGCTTAAATACTTAAAGTAGAAAAACAGAGAAGGTGCAGGAAGATGATGCACACAGAAAGTAAACGGATTGCAACAGACTACTGACAATGTCACACCAGCGAATGAATGGCCTATGAAACAAATGAGAGAAGTCCTTGAAACTTTCAACCTCCCCCAAATAATCATGTGGAGAACAGAAACTTCTGACTAATGGTGAATACTACCAAGTGTTTTAAGAATAGCGAATACCAAGCCTCAGTCTCCAATAACAAAATGGAACATCACAAACCATGTTTGAAACCAGTATCCCCATCATATAAAGCCAGGCATGGGCATGACAGAAAGGCGAGATAGACAATGAAAGGCCTGTCTCTGGTGAAGAACTAAATATTTTCTCCCTAAAATTATCAGCATGAGGCTATTAGTGATAGGGAACACCCTATCAGTATGTCATGTTCTTGGATTTGGACACCAGAATTATATAAAATGAATAGAAGAGAGAGAATCCTTCCAGTGGAGTTGAACAGCAGAATATAAAATAAAAGTAGCCCTCCAGTAGATCTAGTTTGCTGGTGTTTAAGCGTTCTAAGTTCTATGTCAAAGCCAGAAAGTAAATAATATAGGCAGTCTATTTCTAAAGGAATGGCAAAATTGGACATGGCTTCTGTTTTCATAAAACACAGAATAATCATCAAAAATAGTGATTATCACATCTATTTTATACTAAACAAAAGAATTAATTGTTCTCTCAAAATGCAGGGCAATTGCCACACTTCATGTTTTCTTTGCATATTCCTTTTTTTTCCTGAACCTCAGACAACACTAAGATTCAGATTCTCATTGCAGATGAATGATGAAGCCTCCTAAGCAAGGTGGGCTAAATGGATATTTCCCTATGAGCGTGCTGCAGCATGAATTATACTCACTTGGTATTTACTGCTTCTGATTCAGTACCACTGAAAAGAACAACCAATCATCCTACATATATAAGAATTACCAATGGTGGATCACCTGAAAAAATGGTTTTTCAAATGCAGTAGAGCTATCACTATTGCCTGAGTGCAGTGCCCAGGCACGCAAACTTTTAACTGTGTGTGGGCATAACTCATCTAGGCTCTTCTTTTTCCACACCTGATCTTGGACTCTGACTCCTTGTAGTTAGGTAACTCCTTCACAATCATAGCTACAGAGGTTGAGTTTGAACAAGGATTTAAAGAATATAAAATTCTATCATCAGTCTCTCTGGTTATCAGGCAAGTCTGTCTCCACGCCTTCTAGGCTGTGCCTTACATTTGGTATTAAGATGCTCCCCATCTTGGTAAAGTCAAGTTATTATGAACCAAGTTCTGTAGTGCTCTGGTGATCAAGTCATGTGTGCAAAGCTATGTTAAAACCTAGTGGCTGAAAGCAACAACTATTTTATTGATTCTTGTGGTTCTGAGAGACTGGGGTCAATTTGAGATTTCACACACCAGGTCTACGGCTGCAGTGTAAGTTTGGCTGCAGCTGGAGCGAAAAAAGAGTTATGTGCAAGAGAGTGCATGCAAACACAGACCCAGCAGCTCATGATGGTTTTTTTTTTTTTCTGGAAACTCAGCCAGCCAGCCAGGTTTATCTGCAGACTAGCTCCCTGGCTGTGAATACACCATATTATCTTGGGTCCTACACCCCAGAAGTTTTATATTCTGAAAGGGAACATTCTAAGACTGAGTAGAAACTAAATATTATGAGTCACTCCTGAAGAGAGATGGGCTTAAATTGAAGCCTGGGTTCTTTTAAAAATAAGCACACTATGTTTAATCAAATATTAGGGGGAACGATATTTGGCATTTAATGGCCAGTACATGACTTGAGGTCTGGCCTTCCCTTCTTCCTCACCTAACTAAGCACATCCACACATCAAGCACTGTGATTCCTGCCCTTGTACCTTTGCACAGGCTACATCAGCTATATGCCAGGCTCCTGTTCATCTTTTAAAGCCAACAGAAGCAAGCTCTCATCTGTGAGGTCCTCTTCCCCTGGAGTGAGTCACCCTCCTCTGAGTGCTATACTATCAGCATTTGCCATCACTACAGCTTCTTTTTAAAAATTTTATTTTATTTGTTTCAATACATCCCAACTATAGTTTCCTTTCATAATGTTCATTTTACGTATTGCTTTGGCTGATCCCCTGACAATCAAGATGTCAATTTTTCCTGCTCCTGAAACCATCAGTTCCATAGAACAGTGTCTGTACAAGAATTCATGTGATCAGAAGTTGTATCTCTACCAATAAAACTTTATACTAAAATAAATTTTAGTTAGCTATCTCTCTTGGCCAGTGCAGAATCTGTCATAAAAAAAGTGTGAAATGTCTCTGAAAGTCCTCTATAAGTATCATTGCTTTTATAATCTATAGACAGTCACATAATCTCCAGATGGCCATACCACACAGTTTGCTTAGGACTTCCTGTAGGACAATTAAGCCTGTTGATTATTTTAAAGAATACTCCCTCCCTCAGAAGCATCTTAGTTTAGATGGCAGAGTATGTTATCCCAGGATTCCCAATGGTAAATTAAAGGCTCTCAGAGGCCAAATACCTAGTTGCTAAGACAGGGTCCTTTCTCCTAATTCATGGCTAGAGAAAGGGTGGTTTCACTTTGACTGGTAGCTGGAGTTGTGGGTCATGTGTGTTTCCCTAGATAACTTCCCCAAGAGAGTTCCTTTTCAGCAAAAATTTCCAGCAGCTTATGGCTGGCATCACTGTCCCTAAACAGGGTCTAGTATCCGTTGCAAGATGCTCACACTCACAGGAATGACCCATAACCAATGCCTGATAGCTATGGAGAAGTCAACTCCTTTGTCCTGTCTTAATCTGGGGCTATCCTGAAGTACTCTCGCCTCCAAAATTCTAGTCCCATTGAACATCTACGTCACAAAAATCTCCTGAGGGAATTTCCCAATTATCCTTACCCATGCTAGTCTTTATTTCAGTCTGCATCCATCCTACCTGACAACTCTCTTCATGTTTTCATCAGATACTGGCTAGCAACTGAGCTAAACATAGGACCCTTAAATTTTATTCAGGTAAGCACAGTTTGTGCAAAGATTCTTGAGTGCTACCTTATATTTGTCATTTCTATAATCCAATTAGTTAGTTCTTTTTAAGGATAGTAGAAAAGGTGAACAATAACAAATTATATATAATAATAAACTGTACTGAAGTTATTTTAAGATATAAGCTATTTTTTAATTTTCCATATAATTATTTCAGTTGACAGTTGGCTATGAGAAGTGAAAGCCACAGGAGCAAATCCATGGATATACAGGGATGACTGTACAGCAAGATATCCTGAGATCTTGTCTGCTTTAGCAATGGCACTGATACCTGATAGATATATATAGTACAGAATCAAACAAAACAGAATCAAACAAAACAGACCTTGAAATAAATACTTTAAAACTTTCTGAGTGGTTCTCCTAGCAGGGAACCTTATGGCACCATGTCACATTGGAGAAGACAAACTGCTGTCCAACCTGCTTTGGCTTTTTACCCCTTCAAATGCAAACTCCAGATCTCCACATCACAAATCTTCTACCATCTGAACTCTTAACTTCCAGTACCCCTCTGTTGCCAACTCTGCTCCAAACAACACACCACTCTATATATTCTTTTGAGCCTCTAAGTTAACGTGCAATGCTACATAACTCTCCAACTGAGATTTAGATTCTTCTACAACCAATCACCCACATACAAATACTTCTCTGGTTCTGACTTCAACTCTCCAAACTCCCAAAATTACACATCCTCACAGAACCCACTCTCAATGTCAGTTTCCACAAAATCACCTACTCCTTTGTAGGTGACTGTATTTCATACATAAAAGCAGTCCAGCAAATTCTCAAAATCATCGCAAGAAGATGCAAGTAGAAGAAACCAGTCACCTACATTGTTCATGTACTCAGACAGCAGGTCCTGGAGAGCCTGGCGGATGGCATTGCACTCAGCGATAATCCGTTCTCGGTGCAAGTCCCTGGTGCTGGAAGAGTCAGCCAATAGTGCAGCCCCACTGATGATGGCTTCTAGGCGTTTCTCTAGTGATGGTCTTATTTCTTCCTCTGTCACTGTGAGCGGGTTCAGGACAATTAAATTCTGGGAAGAGAAAACATTTGGATAGTTAGGACTCAATGGAAGTCCATTCTTAGAAAACAAAAAACAACGAAAGAAAAGCAAGCATTGTTTGCTTCACGCTTAGAATTCAGGTGTATTAATAAGGAGAATTATGCTTTTCCTGCCTCAACAGTTCACACAGAAGACTACATAACAATATTGTTCAGATGGATGATAAAAGTTGTGTGCTTATGACATTGTCAGTCCTGGATTCAAAGCTTGCCCTGGCTTCCCTATTCCTCTCTTTCATCTGTAAAGCTACAGTATTTATGTTACTTACACCATAAAACCACCAGAATAATTATACTCAATAGCAACATCTCCGAGCTGCCAAAACATTTCTCACACACACTATCTCATCTTAACAATGAGGATGCAGGCAGCCAAGGTGTGATTTTAGCCACACATTTCAGTGGCTATGTGAGGCTGACAGACTTTTGCCTAATGTCAAAGAGCAAATAAGCTTTGAAGTTCAGACACATAACTCTGTCTTATAATTCAAGATTCAATGTCATTTTCATTATACCTCACTGTAAGTCATAGACTAATTAACTTTACCACTAACATATCAAAGAAAATTCTGGCTCTTAATTATTCATTTAAAAAGTAGAACTCCAGGAACTGGAGAGAGAGCTCATGACCAACAGCATGGTCAGCCCTTGCAGAGGATCAGAGTTCGGCCAAGCACCCATATTGGGCAACTCACATGTACCTGGAACTCCAGCTCTAGGGGGTCTGATGCCTTCTTCTGGAGTCTATGGGCACCTGCACAGACACACACACACACACACACATACACACACACACACACACACACACACACACACACACCACACACAAAAAAAAATTAAAATATTTTTTAAAAAGGAAAAGTCCATCTTCCTATTGACCTATTAACTTGCAGAGATCCCAAGTTACTGGAAAGTGGCATGGTATTCTTAAGGTTTTATAAAGATATGGCAAGTCTTTGGAAGTAGAGATCAAGACAATGCATATCTTCTAAGATAAGTCAGAGGACACACTTCTCTAAGCATCCTTCAGAGGGAATTAGCAGTACAAAAAGCCTCTTCAAGGTAAAGCCCAATGAGCTCTTTGAAGAAAGAGTTAGTATAAAAGTTCTCTGAAGAATCTTTAACAAAATTGTACCATGATCTTCAGAGTACAGGAGTCAGAGTGATAGAGTTGATGAAGTGATACTATTATAATCTTACAAAATAATATCCACATGGGTGTGCATATTAACAGAGATGTTTAAATATATAAAGATTACAGCCTTATAAGATAATGTATACATAAATATGCATGTCACTATTGATATACATATGCAAATATATGTAGAATCTTGTATTGATCATGGTGCTATATGATGTTATGATAGATAGTTTATGTTAGAATTTTAAGAAGCAGTGGGCTGGTAAAATGGCACAGTGGGTAAAGGCATTTGCTACACCAGCCTGGAGACCCAAGTTCAGTTTCTGAAGCCCACATAAAAGTGGAAGGAGAGAACGGAGTCCACAAAGTTGTCCTGTGACCCTTCACTCACACACACACACACACACACACACACACACACACACACACACACACACATATGCATATACACATATTGTTTAATAATAAAGCACATTTGGAGAGTTACGCTTAAAAGAGAAATTCATTTCAGAAAGGCATAGAACCATGGTAAAGCATAGAGCCCTGGCATGCTCACACACTATAAAATAAACTATAAACCAGAACACAGACCTTAATATGATGTGTCTTAATTAACTTATAGTGCTCAGGAGTCCTCCTTTCCAGGCTCTAATCCCTTAGCCTTATAGAAACCCACTGTGATCTTATATTTTCAAAAAGGAGTTTGAACAGAGGCTGTTTGTAAGATAAGGTTGCACTAGGTAGCCCAGGCAGAGGTATCTTTGAGTTTGAGGCCAGCATGGTCTACAGAGTGAGTTCCAAGACAGCCAGGGCTAAACATAGAAGCACTGTCTCGAAAAAATAAAGTTTTTACTTCATCTTGTTGTCAGATCAAGAAAAAGGCAAAAAAGGTTTAAATAACTTGGGTGTTATATGAAATACCATTGAAGTCATTTGATCTTTTGATCTAACATAGTTATCTCATAATTATGAGAGAGGGGGGAGAGATATACATAATATAGATATCTCACAGAAGCAAACAACAGAGTGGGAGTTACCACTTTAAGGTGGAGCAGTAACTGAGGAGGTCCTGAGCAAAGAATTCTAAGTTTCAGTTAGACGGGAGGAGTAAGTTCATGTCCTCTATTGTAAATTATAGTGACTGCAGTTAATAACAACATATTCATGCTTGAAAATGAAGGCAGTTGATTTGAAGTGTTTTTAAGTGCATTGGCTTATATTTCCACTTCATAATGCATCACTGACAGAAGTCAGGGCAGGAACTCAAGCACAGTAGGACCCTGGAGGCAGGAGCTGATGAGGCGGCCATGGAGAAGTGCTGCTTACTGGCTTGTTCCTCATGGCTTACTCAGCCTGCCTTCCTGTAGAGCCCGCTGAGCTCTCCCCCCATCAATCACTAATTTTAAAAATGCCTTACAGCCACATTTTGTTTCTATTTTTATTTTAGAAACAATCTTATTTTACATATCAATCCCCCATTCCCTCACCCTCCTATTCTCCCATGTACCCCAATGACCCCCCCTAACCCACCCCTCACCCATTCCTTAAGGACAGTGAGACAGGCCTAGAACTTCTTTCATGGATCTGGGCTGCAATAGTAACCCTCCATAGGAAATGGGCTACCAAAGTCCATTTGTGCACTAGGGATAAACACTGGCTCCACTGTTACAGGTCCCATAGACTGCCCAGGCCTCCTAGTTGGTTCCCACATTCAAAGGACTTGGTTCAGTCCAGATTATGGATGCATTTTCTCAACTGAGGTTCCCTCCTTTCAGATGACTCTAGCTTGTGTCAGGTTGACAGGAAACTAGACAGCACAGTACTGAGACTATCTTGTGTCTATCACTCTACCAATGAGTGAAGGGATAAAAAAAAAATGCCTCATCCTGTGTGTGCAGATTCTGGTATATATACATTCACCAGAATATCATTTGGTCATTAAAAAATGGATGTTCTTGATGCATTTTTTAAAGTGGCATAAGAGAAAAAGACACTATATGACAGAGCTCACATGCAGGTTTTCTTTTTTTTTTAAATAGGTGAAAGCAAATGGCAAAAGGGGCGAGGGGAGAGAAAAGACTAGCCTCTGGGGACAAAAGAGGAGAAAAGAATGGCAGAGAGGGAGAGGAAACAGAGACAGGCAGAAAAGCAGAGAGAGAGGGAGAGAGAGAAAACAATGGGAGGTGGGCAGGGCCCTTTTAAAAGGGAACATAATGAATATGCACAAGTGGTGCTGTGCTGAGGATGTACCCTGTCAGAAGCCCAAGGACAGGTCACTACAGATGCCTGAATACTTAACAGTCCTGACATGTATGGCCATATGGACATTAGGCTAAAGTGACCTGAGTGTCTCTCTCTCCCTCCCTCTCCTCTCTCCTCTCTCTCTCTCTCTCTCTCTCTCTCTCTCTCTCTCTCTCACACACACACACACACACATGATTCATGTGATATTACTTATATGTGGGATATAAAATATTCAAAATCTTTGAAATAGAGTGGGATGGAATGCAGTTTGCAGTGGCTGTGGGCATTTTCTTCATCAGAAGGTACAAATGTTCACTGCATGCATGTATATGGTTATGTGCTGTACACAGGTTCACCTGGAAGAATCAAATCTCCCTGGAGGTGGAGTCATAGACAGCTGTAGGCCATGTGATATCAGAGCTGGAAACCAAAAATGTAGGTCCTGGGCAAGAACAGTATAGTCTCTTAACCACTAAGCCATCTTTCCAGGTTGCTTATTAATATTTTTAAATTTAAAAATTAACCAGAAACCTACTCATAATAAAACCCATCATTCATATACTTTTGTATTTGCCCAGAGCTTAAAATGCATGTAAAAACAAAACTTAGACACAACTAAACTGCCATCAAGTAGATTAATAGATAAACTTTAGTGCATTAAGACAACAGAATGAAAGCATGAAAAGACATGGAAAAAAAGATAAATGCATACTGTAAGTACAAGAAGGCAGCCTGGAAATGCAACATTGAATCCTGAATGATTCCAACCTATGACCCAAAGAAGAAAGGAAACTATGGATACAGTAAAAATATCAGTGGTTTTCAAGACAGAGAAGGAGAAGGAACAAAGAGTTGGAGAAATAAGCTGGGGTTTTTAAGACACCAAACATACTTAGAATGACATTGTTACAATGGTTCCATGCCATATACATTTTCCAAACCGTGTGTAACAGCAAGTGTCCCACCTGCAAACTTTGGAGAGGGCAGAAACTGATGTGTTAGTGTAGGTTGCACGCTGTAACAGCTGGACCACCCTTACTGAAGATGCTGATGATGAAGATGCTGATGATGACAGACAGAGGCTATACCTATGTTGAGGCAAGGTGCACATGGGGGATTATGTGAACCAAGTTCCCATTTGAGAAGAAAAGGGCTGAGGAGATGGCACAGCTGATAAAGTGCTTGCTGTAACATGAGGACCTGAGTTGTCTCTAGCACCCATGTAAAAGCTGGGCATGGAGACAAGCTCCTCTTAGCGCTGACAAAGGAGAGGCAGGAGGATTATGCTGAGAGAGATTTGCAGGCCACACAAGCAGTGTGATGCAGGTTCAATGAGAGACCTTGTCTCAGAAAACAAAGTGGAAAGTAGTTCAGGAGGACACCTAATATTGACCTCTAGCCTACACACATACACACAGAGAGAGAGACAGAGAGAGAGAGAGAGACAGAGACAGAGAGACAGAGAGACAGAGAGAGAGAGGAGAATTAAAAAATACTTATTACCTCAAACCTTGAGCTCTCTATCATATCACTCTGGGTCAAAAGTTTAAGGGGAGTCATTCCTTCGTATTCTTATCAGGAAAGGA